GAGTGTTTTACTTAATAAAAACAAGAGCAATAAAAAGTGAGTTCAAAACATAGAGCATATTTTCAAATGTTAGTAGATAAACTCTGACAGGTTTGGTGTGGTTTGTTTTTTTTTTTTAAGATGGTAGTAGGTTATTCAGAATTATGGAAACCAACAGAAGAAACCGCAAACAAGGGAAGTAGGGATGAAGTTGTAGATGTACATGCAGTTTTCCCTATGGAAGTGAAGGTTTTAAAAAGCCTTTACTACCTCAGGAAATGACAAATAAAAATCAGGCACAGAAATAAGAAATCACCAAGTATATAGAACACAATTATATACAAGAGTTGGGTTTCTAGATAAACTGAGAGCAGTTTGTGTTTTATATTCGTCACCTAACGTTAAGACAACTGTTTTCAGAAAGCAACTGGAGGGGTGAGGACATTCAAATGAAGGCAGAAAAAGTAAAAGGGCCACAGACTTTATTTAAAGTGAATGTAACATACAATATGTACAGACAGCACACAGTGCCAATTTTATTTGCAGATATAGTACTTCCAACTCAAGTTTACAAGCTACACCTTTGCCACAGCCTTGGCTAGATCTTGAACGAGTGCAGAATTCAGCAGTGCTAGAGTACTAATTTTAGCATGTTTAGGTGTTGCGTACTTGTTCTTTATTGTCTGGGGGGAAAAAAAAGCAAGGTAATTAATGAAGGAAAACATGTGAACATCCCATGAGCCCAAAGTACAAGCATCCATTTAAAACTCTAGCTTCTTAAAAGACAAGGATGAGTATTTTTTTCTTCCCTTTCCCTACTTCTTGCTCTCCTATCACATTTTACAGTACCCAGACTCACTTACCATGTGCTTTGTAAGCCCCCGATTTACCAGGACTACATTCTTGGCCAGGTGCTGCATAACAGTTAAAAGGGATTCTTCAGTGTATAACAGGTAATGTTGTAGAGTTGGTGTCTAAGACAACAAATATTAGTGTTAATAATGCTCATCAACAATGGTCTTCATATTTTCTGTTAATCAAGGAGGAGGGAAGAGTATGTAATGACTGACAAAATTTAAGGCCCCTTCTTTCCTTCTTAGATAGAATCCTGTGTTTAAACCTATTATATACTCACACATGTACACAAGCTGAGAAAATTGCAGACTTGAACAACTTAAAGCTTAAGATTGTTGAGGCAGACTTTGTTAAGTCAATGCAAGAATTTGAATACACTTTTAACAAATCATTTCATCACTTGAGTTTATCTGTAAAATGGACTAGAGGCTGCTCTGCCTTTCTCAACCAGTTCTCTCTCTTGGAATCTGTCACAGCTGACCCTCCACTGGTTTTCCAGGTTGTAAATCATGGAAGGAACATGGAAGGAACGGCCCACCTTTCTCCCGTGGACTCACTGGTAGGCTTGAACCAGCAGAGGTGTGGTCTTTGGGTTTGCAGCTCCCCTAGAGAGCTTCAAACAAACTCAAAAGCTCAAACTTATTGCTGCTGTCAAGTTGGAAGTAATTCTTAGCTGATGCTCTAGAGGCTGTAAATCACATGGGTGGAGACTGACCATTTTTCCCCATAGAGCAGGTGGTAGATCTGAATTGCCCACCTTTGGTTTGGAGCAGAGTTCCCTATCCATTACATACTGAAACAGAAAGATCTACCTAGAAGACTTTACAAAATTATCATTCGTAAAAATTCCTTCACAGTAATTCTGTATTTAAGATTATTCTGCAAATGAAATAAAATTCTATATTCAGCTAAACACTGTTATTTAGAAAACGTATAGTTTAGGGAAATTTAGGTTTCACAATAACGAAATTAACGCTTACCCATTCACCATTATCAAGAATTTTCAGAGCTAAGCAAAAAGCTCCTGCTGCAATTTCAGAAGGAGGAAAGTGCACCATATCATAGTCCAGCATAGTTAGTTCCATCAGGTACTTGGCCAAAGTATGTTGCTCAACATCAACCTGTAACAAAATCTAAGTCACTATGCTGCTTTCAGAGTCTCAGTGGCACTGATTTGTATTTCTATCTGTATGTCCACATTTCTAAGTCCAAATATTTTTATGAAAACTCATGGAAGGACTTAATTATTAGCATGCAGCCTAACTGGAAATAAAGAACATCTTTATTCCCTTCTCAGAACACACTCATGTATGCAGAACAAACATGGGTGAGTAGCATTACTTCCCCGTGGTACCGTATTTTAAGGTTTTCACAAGGGATGTTTACCTCTCCAATCTTGGATGCTCTGCGAAGGAAGTGCAGAGGCAGAGGACGGCCCAGACTAAAGTTTAGAGCTCTTAGAATCTTCATTTCCATCTGTCTGATCTGGTGTTTTGTGTAAGTATGGTCAGTCACAAATGCAAAGTCATTTATTTCTGGAGGGTACATTTCTTCATATTTGCTTGCAATAAACATGGCAGTGACACCAACAAGCTGTAGCATCTTCTTAGGTACACAATTATTCTAGAAGAAGAATTACAATCAGATGAATAAGATGTATTTGGCGGGGTGGGGGAATAATCCAGACACAGAATACTTCCATAGCAAAACCTCAGTTCATCATAATCAGCCACCACCACAAAGACATTTTTTTCTGCCAACAACCAACATTAAAAGATGTGTTACAACACAATTTTTACCAAGCTGAGATGAAGAAGTGTTTGCTCTGTCAAAGCACAAACATCAAACTATGAACAATGTTCATAACAGTGTTACTGTCATAAGTACATGGAAACAGCCCAAATGTCAAACCATTATTGAATGGATTAAGAAACTATGGTGCATTCCACAATGGAATACTACATAGCACTCAGGAACAATGATTTAGAAAACCACTACCTAACTTGGGAGGGACAGGAGAGCATTAGGCTAAGCGAACTAACTTAGTCCCTTAAAGACAAATACTGTATAAAACCATTATTTGGAAACAGAAAGATAACTAGTAAATGTGTATGAGGATCCAAAGAGGGGGGAGGGCAGGACAGAGAAATGACGATGGGCAGGGGGAAATCACAGCATTGCACACGTTGATGGATGGAGGGTGGGTGGGTAAAGAAAGTGGGAAAGATCCGGTGAGGATCTGGAAACACAGGGCAGTGGACATAGTTCCGTGATGACTGATTTTATAAAATATAACGAATCAGAATGACTATATGAGACACAATGTGTACAAACTTTGTAAGCAAACCAAGTAAGTTATTTTTAAAAAAGAGAAAAGTCATTCTACTCAGTGCTCAACACCACTCACTGTTGTCAAGTAGATTCTGACTCAGTGATTCTGCAGAACAGTAAAAATGTCCCATAAGGTTTCTGAGGCTGTCAACTTTACAGGAGCAGACTGCCTTACTGTTTTCCTTAAGAAACCCTGGTGTGGTTTTGAACCAAACCAGTCCAATGCTTGTTACATCATCAGTTAGAAGTTAGTACTGTTGTGTGTGAAGAGTTGGAACCAACGCACAGCTGACCCTCAAGGAGGTTTTCAGAGGCAGTAAATCACATGAGAGGCGAATGCTCATCCCTCTCCTGCGGAGGAGTGGATTCAAACTGCATGCTTTTGGGATTGCAGTGAAACTTCTTGCCACTAGTAGTTGAAAAGGATTTGATAACCCTGGACCCTAGCTGAGTTAAGCATACCTGCATGAATCGATCAATGATGGACACAGTCATGTACATGGTTTCCTGAAGCAACCGGAATTTCATCTGAACCTGAACCAGCCAGTCAATCAGGATGGCTCTCATGTTGCCAGTGACTTCTTGACCCACGAGGTATTTTGGTCTGATTGCTTGCTCTTCCTACAAAAGAAATGTTGGTTATCTTTAGACGTCAGACTCTGGGAAACGTCTGTCCACAAATGGCAGTTTATCAAAGTACAAACTGAGCAGTTAGAATCTGAAAGATAGTTTTAACTCAGTTATTCATATAATTACTAGGCACAACTCCATCATGAGGAATAAAGCAAACACCAAGGCAGTAAATGTGGCAAGGGAGAAAAGAAACTCAAAGCGAAAAGAATAAAACCCAAGCAAGGAAGTATATTCTTGTAAAGAACAGATGCCCAAAGAGACAGTGACATTAAGAAAAGAGTCCATTAAAAACAAGCAGCAGGGAAACTAGTCCACAAGACTGACTACATGAATCATAGTATTTACTCCAAGACAAAATAACCTAGACAGTGCCTGTTAGCATACTAGATCAAATCAGGGCGATGGACACATACACAGCAGAAATTAGGATCAGAGTCCAGAATTACTTGACCAATTAAGATCAAAGAACTCTCTGATAGTACTGTCTTGAGATCGTCTAAATTTTTTCTTTTTTAATTTTATATTTAATTTTATTATTTTGTGTGTGTGTGTGCCATCAAACTGGATCTGACTGGTACAGGAGGAAGTTGCCCCTTCTTTTCCAGCAGAACATCTGGTGGATTTGAACTGCACATGGATCGTCTAAATTTTTAACCAAATCTATCCAGAGGTCACCTTTTAGCTAAGTAACTAGAGCACATATCATCTGTGAGTACTTGGGCTGCCTTGTCATTTTTTTTAAAATGGGATCAAATGATCATTACTTACTTTAAAGCAAAGAAAATGGAAAGGGGACAGTGAAAAAGAACAACTAGAAGAGAAATGAGAATACTGATATACTACAGTATAACCTTATTTAAAAACCAAAACCCCAAATAAATACAACGTAAGGGAATGGTGGTGGCAAGTTGTTACTGGTAAGTCAAAGTGGTGCCTCTCTGACAGTCTGAATTCACTAGAAGCACTGAGGAGAAAGATGGGCAATTTTCTTCCATGTGACTTAAAGCCTTCAAAAACCCAATGAAGGATCAGTTCTAAGTTGGTCCTGTTTTGACAATACATCTGAATTGTTCTGATACAGTTTATGTAATCAGCATGCAGTATGTTTGTATGTCATTTAGGAGGAAGGGTAAAATGCCACTGAAGTAAGTTTCAGAAGTGATGAAATGGAAGAAAATGAAACATCACTTCTAGCTTTTTACCATACTTCTCTTGAACACAAAGAACAATTCTCTGTCAGTTACACCTATATTAGCCACGTTGGCACAAAATGCCTTCAGTTAGGCATGGTTACAGTTTTCACTACTTCTTATCCTTGTCTACTTTCTGCTGCTGTTATACTCCTTGGGTGCAGAGTTTAGTACTTGCCATCCCCTTAACTCTGATAGATATACATGTACCATTAAATCTAAACTTTCCAGTGGCAAGGTATTACTTTAGAAAGAACAGTGGTATCTACCATTTCCCCCTCCCCAATATTTTTAAACTTTCACTGTTTAAAGGAGTAAGTAAAGAATTCATTGGCTGGCTAGCCAGCTTTTATCTTCGATATTCCATAAAGGAGAAACTGTGTAATCTATTGTTTAGAAATGTTGCCCATGTCCTGCTTGAATGATTCTAAGTCATTAGGATTAAGTATATTTAATTAAGCTGGATGCCATTTAAGAAATAAACAAAACTAGATAGCACTGACCTCAAGTTGCCTCAAGTAAGTATAAATATCTTTCACATATTCACTACAAAGGTTTGGATCAGCTCCATCACCGGCATCCACATCATTCACTGCAAGAATTACATCAGAGAAAGCCTGACACAGGTCTTCTTCTGCAGGGGCACATCCAGAGGTTTCCATTGGGCTTGGAGAAGGAGTATCCACCTTGAAGAAAGAGGAATACACGAGATATTTAAGTTTGTTTTTAATTTTTTTTTTTTGTTTTCACACAATATATTTGTTCTGATTCATTCACTGTTGCACATTTTCCTCCCTTCCTCCTGCACTTTGCCATCACCTCTTGTTCCAGATTGTCATACATATACCCAATCATATATTCCTTTCAGAGTTTCCCCTTCATCTGTTCCAATGTTCATTATCCATCCACTCTATTTCTATTACCCCCTAACCCCCACGTTAGTCCTATTTTATAAAAGTAGTGTTATGCACTATTTGTCCTTGTGTGACAGATATTTCACTCAGTTTAATGTCTTCCAAGCTCACCCAAGCGATGTAATGTTTTACAGGTTTACTCTTTGTTCAGGGTACAAAATATATTTTTGGAATGAAGACAAGACTCAAGAACTCATCTGCTGAATAGATACAGATTTCTTTTAAACTGTTAGATTAAATGAATTACTTTGAAGTTGGCAGAACTTAGCTGCCAAATGGTAAAACACAACAAATCTATATTTTAGCTCTATCTACAAAAGAAACTGAGAAGTCATGATCTATTTAGATATGTCTACATGTCAACTTGACATGACCAACAAGTCAGTCTTTGGTATATATATACTTTTCTTTCAAAATATTCTTTGAACACAAAATGGTTATTTCTCAATATTTTGAAAACAAGCTCTGTCCTGACCAAGGACTAACTGACCTATAATGAGGCATTTTCCTTCACTTTCCAATAATCAAGTATTTATTGACCATGTTCTTCAAGACTATCTCTGTGCTAAGCAAAGGCTTTACAGAGTTGTCAATAAGTTTCAAACTTGGAAAAAGATAAGCAAATAATGAGAATGGTTCTAGGAATAAGGGTTGTTATTGTGTGCTGTTGAATTGGAAATGACCCATTGCTGACCTTCCTTCAGTGGGTTTTTAGAGGCAGTAAATCCTACAGGAGTAAATGCCAACAGGAGGGCATCTTGCTCCCCTGGAGCAACTTGTGATTTGAATCACTTATCTTTTGATTGGCAGTCCAATTCCTTACCACTAGAGCTCCTTAGGAATAAAGTTTAAAAAAAGGATCAGGGGTCAATTTTTAAGCTTTAGTGAAGGATAAAAGTTAACAGCTATATAAAAGATGGTTGGTACTTACAAGACCATTATTGTAAAAAGAGAAGGAAAACTAGAAAAACATGTATAGGGATCCAAGGAATGAAGTGGTGGGAGCAGAGGGGTGAAGATGGGTAGGGGCTAAATCATAGGGTTGCACAATTTGTTGGGTGAAGGAAGGGAGAGGGTAAGGAAATGAGAAAGATCATCAAAGACCTGAAAAGACTGGGTAAGGATGGGCATAGTCCAATGATGATTAATTTTAGAAATCATAATGTACGGGAAGGGTTGTATGAAACATAACTTGAATGAACAACAGTGTGAAACACAATGTATGTGAATTTTATAAGCAAACCAAGATAAAAAAAAAAAAGGTTGGGAAAGGGAACTCTGGTTGCTCAGTGGTAAAGAACTGCACTACCTATACAAAGGTACACAGTTCAAATCTACCAGGTTCTCCCATAGGTCGTTCCCAAATATCAGGAGAGGGTTGGGAAAACATTTTTTTATCAAGGGAGATGGGCACAGCCAAGAATGAGACTTTTACGGAAATCTCTGGTATGCATGCATGCATGCCCATGTTAAAGACTACCAGAAACCCATTTCATGTGATATATACAAAGATCAATTACTGAAGCAATAGCCTCAATTAAAATCCATTTCCCAATTAACTGAATATTAAAAATTAAGAGTCTCAGAATCCAGTTCATGGCACTCTGAGCAAGCACAGCTTTCCTTCAGGCAGGTATTTGTGTTTATAAACCTAATAAAATTTTTTTAGGTCAAGTGTTAATAATCTTCTTACTCACTCTCCCTAAAGTGCTACATTTTATTTCTGAAGCTTTACATTTACTCTAATGTTACATACTAATTAGTTGTTTGCTGTCCAGTCAGAAATGACCCACAGCTGACCCTCCAGCAGGTTTTCAGACGCTGTTAATCACATGGAAGGGGACTTGCCCATCTTTCTTCGTGGAGCACCTGGAGGACTCAAAAGGTGCCTCTGGGATATCAGCACAGTGTCTTACCACTAGGCCATCAGAGACCCTATTAGTTTAAGTAGCCATATTAGCTATTATTGTTAGGTGCAGTGAATCAAAATGATTTGATTCATAGCAACCCTATGAACAACAGATTATTAAAATGTTGTTCATCTTGCACTGTTCTCACAATCTCTTGTCATCCTCAAGCCCACTGTTATAGTCAATATGTCATTCCTTCTCTTCAAGCCACTTAAAATTGAAGCGGGATAGATGCTTCCTTAATTACATCACCAAGTCTGTCATTTCCTTTAGTAAAATGATATAGATCATTCATTTTTCTTCCTTAGAGATCACTTCTCTTTCCTGGTCATCTTACAAGCAGCTACTAATTAATTAATACCATTAACAAAGAGGGTCAGTATAAGAACAAACAAAGGTCATATGAAGGAAGCCCTGGTGGCCTAGTGGTAAGAAGCTGCACTGCAATCCGGAAAGTGCACGGTTCAAATCCATCAGATGCTCTGCTGGAGAAGGAGGGGCAATCACCTCTTGTGCCTGTTGATCCAATTCGGCATGTAGAATAGGCAAAAGTATAGAGATCAAAATTTATCAGTGGTACCAAGGGATGAGGAAGGGAGGGAAAGACTGTCATGTCTTAGAAAATACCAAGTTCCTGTTAAGGGTAAAATGAGTAGTGGTGATAGTAACAAACACGAAAGTAATTAAGGTCATTTAATGGCACATGTAGAAGAATGGTCACAGGGTAGAAGTTTTGTTATTAAAAACAGATTTTTGAATCCTATTTTGTGCCACTTATTAGCTGTGTGGCTCTGGAAAATACACAAGTAACTTCTATAAGCCATTACCTAAAAAAGTTAACTACTTCACAGTGTAGTGGTGGTTTATGTAAGCTAATGCATGTAAACCTGGCACTGCTCTACACACTATATAAATGCTGCCCCACCTATGAGTGAAATGTGAGGAAACAAACAATCCAAGGACTGTAAAGCAGGATTAAGAATGAGCTTACCAAAATAGGCTCAGGAGACAGCTTTTCCTCTTTAACAACCTCAGGTTTCTCCTCTGGCTGTGGCTCAGGTTCAGGCTCAGGCAATGAGGCCTTTTCCAGAGGTTTTGATAATTTTTTTACAATAAATTTTCCAGCAGCTGAAGTTTTTGCTTCCTGTGGATGGAAGAAAGAGACTGAAATGCTTCTCCATGAAACACCACAGGTGGACTCTTTTAAAAGAGAAAGTAGGTCAGGAAGATAGGGTACCTTTTTCAGAGCCATTTTGGGCTGTGGCTGTTCACTGACTTTGTTACCAATGTCTCTAAGCGCGACTCTTGGCCTCAAGCCAGGCTTCAATGGCTTGGCAAGGGCCACAGGTACCCGCTTGGCGCCTGCCATGTTGACCTCTGCTTTATTTTCAGAATTAATTTTCATGTTCTGCAAGAAGCAAGACAACATTAGAATTTAGCCAGGCTGGAGCAAGTCAAAGGTTAATTAATCATGGAGTTGTACAATGTGATGGTGGGGGGAAAGCGGTGAGGGAAACTAATTTTGCAAATAAACTAGTATTTTTTAAAAAAGGTTAATTAAGGTGGGGACAAGGCTGATTCGCGGTGAGGGAAACTAATTTTGCAAATAAACTAGTATTTTTTAAAAAAGGTTAATTAAGGTGGGGACAAGGCTGATTCGCAGGAGGCAAGCTGCCTGAAAGTGGGCTCGGAGGGGAAAGCAGAACCCCCTTGGAGACAAGTCATTTTTCTTATTAAGGATTTCAGTAAAGGCCCAGCAGTTCTAAAATACCACGAAATCACACCTGAAATTAACGAAGACCTCTAAATGCTGGCACTTTTTTCCCAGTATGGAGGTTACAAGGTTAGTACGGGCTAACCCTGGGGTCCTTAGCACATCTCTTTTAAAAAAGCATTCCCATGAGTCCTCTCCCTTCCTGCCAAAATGCATCTTAGGCCTTTTTGAGTTTTGCTCTCGCCTCTCTCATCACATTCCCTTCCTCGCCCAAAACCCCTCATCACGCAAGGAATGCCTCTCCATGTTCACTCGGCGACACCCTTTCCCCCACCTGCCCACAATCCTCAGTCCTAATCTCTACCCGTGGGGGTCCGGTGAAAGAGGGTGAGAGCACGCAGCGAGGAAGGTCACATCTGTTTTCGATTTGCAGCAACTCACCCTGGTGACTCGCAGTGCCATGGCTTCTTCTTTACCAGGCAGCAACTCACAGGGAAGACGTGAATTAGGGAAGCCCCAGAGAAGCCGGGAAACCCAAAACAACAAACAGCCGTTCCTGGACCCCAGCACGCCGCCGGGAGCAGCCGCTCTGCCTCGGATTTAAACCCCGCACGGCTCTCTCCTTATTGGCTTGTTTGTTGCACTCTCTCCCTTCTCATTGGCTACTGCTCGTTCTCCGAGAATGCGTTTCCAAGGCGATCACGCGAGGACGTTCGGGGGAGGGGGCGGAGCCAGAGCGGACTGCCTCCCTGTGGCTTCGCACCAGCACCTCACGTGATGCAGCTTGGTCCTGCGCCCTGTGAGCTTCGGCTTCATCCATTTGGAAAGCTGAGTGACTGCGGTTTAACTTAGCAGGTTTAGGCAAGGAGTGGGATCCGTGGTCCTTGAAAAGTGACAGTGAAGTGTTAGAAGTGTGAAAGGAAACTGTAGCCTTATTCATATATATGCACTGTCATGTAGCAGTTATTCTTCTTGTTAGGTTTCTTTTAGGCGACTATTACCTATAACCACTTCATGAACTGCACCACCATCACATATCTGACATGCTCTAGCCCTCTGTTACAGTCACTGTGTCACTCCATCTCCTTGAGGAACCTTCTGTCTTCCAAGGACTAGCACTCCTGAGAAGCCAAAAGTAAGTAAAATGAGGTTTCGCCATCCTTGCAGCTAAGAAGCACTCAGGTTACTATCCCTTCAAGGAAATGTTTATTCTTTTGGCAGTGCGTGGGATAGTCAATACTCTCGGTCAACACTACAGTTCAAAGATATTTTTCTTTGGTATTCCTCCTTTATTGTCCAACTTGCAGGTGCATGTTGTTGTTGTGTACCTTCTAGGCGGAACCCAGCCATAGCTGACACTTTAGCGGGTTTTCAGAGGCAATAAAATACAAGGGCTGTTTGACAGTATCATGATAGATGATGAAGAGATTGAAATTGTTAACAGCTTTAGTTTGCTTGGCTCTACAGTCAACACTTTTGGCACCAGCAGCCAGGAATCAAAAAGACGTATTGCGATGGGAAAGTCTGCTGTTAGGGACTCTCCAGAATACTGAAGAGCAATGGTGCCACTCTGGAGACTAAGGTACACCTGACACAGGCCATGGTCTTTGCAATCACTTGCTATGCATCAGAGAGCTGGACAATGACTAGGGAGGATAGAAGGCAGCGCACTGATATCTTTGAGTTGAACTTTGGTACTGGATGAGAGTATTGAATATACCATGGCCTGCTAAGAGAACAAACAAGTTCATCCTGGAGAGGGTTAAACCAGGCTGCTCCTTGGAGGCAAGGATTCTGAAACTTCGTTTGACCTACTTGGGACATGTTGCAAGGAGGGACCAGTCCTTGGAGAGGGAAATCATGCTTGGGAGGGTGGAGGGACATAGCAGGAGAGGAAGACCCTCAATGAGATGGTTTGATTCAGTGACTAGGGTAGGTGTGTCGGAGAAAGTGAGATTGGCACAGATAGAGCAGGGTTTAGGGCTGTTGTACATGGGATCGCTATGAGTCACAGGTGACTCAATGGCACATAAAAACAACAACAAAACACAAGGGAGCAGACTGCCTATCTTTCTTGGCAAAGCAGCTGGTTGATATGAACAGTGTGCTTTTGAATTGGCAGTGCAATTCCTTACCACTAAGCTGCCAGCACTCCCTTCTAGGTGCATAGGAAGCAACCGAAAAACTATCCTTTAACTCTTTGTATGAAGATGACTAGGAAACCGAAGAAGGAAGCCCTGCTTTCCCTCCCAAAACTGAAGCCAAAGCAAAAGCATGAAAAGCCAAGAAGGTAGTCTTGAAGGACTTCCACAACCACAAAAGAAAAGGAAAACCTAAACAACTAAGAGATATCATCTCACCCCAGTAAGAATAGCAAACAACAAGTGCTGGCAAGGTTGCAGAGAAACTGGAACCCTTATTCACTGTTGGTGGGAGTGTAAAATGGTGCAACCACTATGGAAGACTGTATGGCACTTCCTCAAAAAGTTGCCAATAGAAATACCATTTGACCCAGCAATTCCACTACTGGGAATATATCCTAAAGAAACCATAACCGCTACCCAAGCAGATATATACACACCCATGTTTATTGCTGTTTTGGTCACAATAGCAAAGAATTGGAAATAACCCAAGTGCCCATCAACAAACGAATGGATAGGGAACATCTGGTGTATTCACACAATGGAATACTATGCTGCATTGAAAAATAAGGAACTCATGAAATATTATACAAAATGGGTGAACTGTAGGACATTATGCTGAGTGAAGTATCTCAGTCACAAAAGGACAAGTATTGCGTAGTGAAACTTGTAAAATGGGACTGACATCGGAGAGGGGATAAATAATGTATACTGCATTGAACTAGATGAGTTCTCTAACTGTTTAAAAGGGATATATGATTAGGTATTATTGTCATGACAGGAGTCCAGAATGAAGTCTACACAGTGGAATGGACTTGGGGGGAGGGACTGTATAACAATGAAATAATTTTTCTTTTACTTTTCTAAGAGAAGAGCAAACTGGGGGCGGGAGGTGGTCAGGGAGAAAAGTGAAACAATGAATGAATGGAAATCTTAAGTCTCTGTAAACTTTCAGTCATTCAGCCAGACAGCTGCCTTCCAGATTTCCCCAGCATAATACGTGGGAGTTGTGTTGTGTTGTGGTGGTCTCTGGAGAAAGGCGACTCTGCCTCCAGGAGCCAGGGAAGCCACGCTTGGCCTTGGGTTGAAGGCAGCAGCGGCTTCAAGCCCAAAAGGGCCCGAGGGCCTGCAACCCTCAGGCCAGTTTTTCATTGTTTTTGTTCAGACATTCCTCTAGGTCCTATAGCCCTGGTGTACAAGTTGCCATCCCAAGGTCACTTGTGGTTGCTGTGAGGCTGAACACTGTGACACGGATGTGTCTAAATGCGTTAATGGTTGGCTATCCAATGCAGACTGAGAGTGGGGTGGAGCTCCCCCATTAAACAAGCGTGGAAGGAGGAGTGGCATCCACTTCCATAATAGCTTGCCTCTGGAAACCCTATGAACCTGGAGAGAGGATGAAAGGCACCCAAGCGTCGAGGACTCTCCTTCTTAGGGTCGCTATGAGTCGCCTGTGACTCGACTGCACTTAACAACAACAATCTGGTGAGCACGTCCAGGGCTGCATCTGTCATTTGAAACATGTCAGTTGGTGTCCCATCAACTCCTGAAGCCTTATTTTTTTGTCAGTACCTTCATTGCAGCTTGCACTTCTTCCTTCCTTAACATTGGATCTTGATCACATGGTATTTCCTGAAATATTTCAGTGTTTCCAGTTCTTTTTGGTACAATGGTTCTGTGCGCTCCCTTCATCTTTTGTTGCTTCTTGGTTCATTCAAGGTTTTTTCCATAGTATCTTTTAAGTATTGCAACTCTAGTCTTGGATTTGTTTTTCAGTTCTTTCACTTTGAGAAATGCTGATGGAGTTCTTCCCTTTTTTATTCTCCAACATTTTTTATTGAGTTTTGATGAAAGTTTATAGAGAACTTGGATTTCCGTTCATTCATTGTTGCACGTTTTCCTCACTGCCCACATCTTTCCCCCGCCCCTGCAAGTTAGTTTTTCTTTTTGAAAAGAAAAAAAAAAAATCTTTCATTGTTATACCATCCTCCCCCAGTACACTTTACTATGCAGCTCTTATTCTGGACTCTTGTTATGCAAATAATACCTAATCATATATCCCTTTTAAACAGTTCTCTCCCTCATTTGTTTCAAAGCAGTGTACATTATTTATCCCCTCTTTTCTTAGTTTCCCCCGACCGCCATGTCAGTGCTGTTTTATAACAGTGGCACTATGCAGTATTTGTCCTTTTGTGACTGAGATAATTACACTCAGCATAATGTCCTCCAGGCTCACCTATTTTATATAGTATTTCATGAGTTTCTTGTTTTTCAGTGCAGCACAGTATTCCATTGTGTGAATATACCACAGTTTCTCTATCCATTCATTTGTTGATGGGCACTTGGGTTGGTCCCAACTCATTGTCAATGTGAATAAAGCAGCAATAAACATGGCTGTGCATAGTCTATGAATATTTTGTTATAATTATTTGGTTTGTCTTCTGAAGCTGTCCTTGAAGTCTTCTGTTCAGCTCTTTTACTTTAACATCTATTCCCTTTATTTTGGCTTCTTGATGATTTAGTGCAAAAAGAATCAAACTATTATCTCTTAAGAATAATGCCGACAGCGAGGCGGCCGAGTGGCAGACGCAATGATGCAGATCTTTGTGAAGACCCTGACTGGCAAGACCATCACTCTTGAGGTCGAGCCCAGTGACACCATCGAGAATGTCAAAGCCAAAATCCAAGACAAGGAGGGCATCCCTCCTGACCAGCAGCGTCTGATATTTGCAGGCAAACAACTAGAGGATGGCCGTACACTCTCAGACTACAACATCCAGAAAGAGTCCACCCTGCATCTGGTGCTGCGTCTCTGTGGTGGCATTATTGAGCCTTCCTTGCGCCAGCTCGCCCAGAAATACAACTGCGACAAGATGATCTGCCGCAAGTGTTATGCTCGCCTGCATCCCCATGCTGTCAATTGCCACAAGAAGAAGTGTGGGCATACCAACAACCTGCGCCCCAAGAAGAAGGTCAAATAAGAGCCCCCTCTTCCCCGGCTCCCTTGCCTCTTGCAGGTGGCCTTCTTCTGAGCCCCATGACCCTGGGCCCTCAATAAAGTCTCTTTCATTGAACTGAAAAAAAAAAAAAGAATAATGCCAGTTTTTTTTGTTTTTGTTTTTGTTTTTTTTTACATCTCAGTAAGGCAAATTGTTTGCCAAAGTTAATTACCTTGATTTTACTTGGAGATAATTTCAAACTTAGAAATTTCTCAAACATAAGAATAAGAATTAACACTAATTTTATCGTTTACCCATATTCAACTATTTTTAACATTTACTCCATTAGCTTTAGAATTTTCTCAATCTTTCTTTCTCTGAA